AGACACCAGCTTCCCATCCCGGGTCTCAATCTTCTTCACCATTTTGGAGGAGCTGGTGCTGGTGCAGCTGGAGGAGGCAGAATTCCTATCAGAGCCCAAGTGGGCCTGGAAGCCCTGGCTGTAGTTGACGTTCCCCACAAAGTGGGTTCAGCTGACCTCTGTAGCTGCTGGTGGTCTTGGTATTTTCTCTATTTTAACTTTATTTTTGTTGTTTACTCTATTATGGGTGTCCCCGTCCCCGCTCTTTGCCCACTTTCACCTAACCTGCACCCGCCCCTGCCCCCTTCCCTCAGGCCACCATCACACTGTTGTCTCTGTGGATTATGTGTGTATGTTCTTTGGCCAATCTCTTCACTTTGTTGGTTTCAAATTATTTAAAAGAAGTGTGACTGATTCTCTATAAGAAATCTCAGGGACAATGTCTCTAAGGAGAAATAGGAAAAATGAAAAAATATTCAATAGTGCTTACACCAGTTGGTCATGTTTCAAGCTAATGATCTCAGCTATGATAATTTTTAGGAATGTTCGCAAAGTGGGATTAGTTAGACACACATAAGTTATTTTGGTATCAAAAAAGAGGAGTTTATCAGAAATCTTTATTATGAAGGCATAGATACTACCATATATTCAGATATACTTGTTTAAAAAATTGCATTATTAAAATAGTAACACTTTAGGTATGTGATTTTAAATAACCTGCAAAATTATTTCACATTAATTTTCCTACCTACAAAATTAAATATTGATTTCCAGTAAGTACATTTGGCTTTCATTATGGTTGATCCTTGGTCATGTAATCTAGAGAAAAAGAAAAAAGATACCAACATATACTGCCAATGGTAAGTAAAATAGAGGTGTTACTTTTTTTCAAAATTTAAGAATAATTACAAGTATCATCTAAGTTACATACAAATAAATAATGATTTAGAGGTGATATTTTATTATTCTTTGAATAAAGCATTATTTCTCATTTTCTATTTTATGTATCATTAATGCAAGAACATGCATTTTTGATTTATGCACTTGTATCTGATAATGTAAATACATTAGTGTTTACACCAGTCACTGCTCTTTAGAATGGTGAAGAGAATGGTAATTATTTTACTGCTCTCTGTATAAAAAGAGCCTAAACAACCCTAGAAATCAATAAGAAATGAGGTTGGAAGATATTTTTTCTGGGGAGTTGCCTTCACATGTTTTGCTACATTTTTAAAAATAGAAAAAAAATAGCTCTTTGGAAGTGTTAATTTTAATTAACACTTTGAGCAATGACAACTTATCACTGATAATTATTATTATTTTGAAAAATAATTTATATTCTTATGCAACATATGAGGGCTCCTGTTTTTCCACTCCCCACCAGCACTGTATGTTAGTGTTTAAAAATTTTTTTTATTGTTGTTCAAGTACAGTTGTCTCCATTTATCACTGATAATTATTGATTGCCAAATCTGCAATGGTTGCAGAACAAATATCTGCTTTGTAGTTTAAAATTACTCTGACACCAATGTTGAACCTACAGGAATGTTCAATGTGTTTATTGTAAAAAGTGGAAGTTAGAGCAAGGATGTGTTAAAAATGAACAGGGCCAAATGAAGATGAGATCAAGGAAGAAAGTTCAGATTCATCTTTGGTTCTATAAAAACTACCATTTCCATCAATAGCCTGGAGGTAATTCACTGGAAAATTAAAGTAAGAGGAGAAGAAATATGCTAAAAAATGTAAAGTGAAAAACCATGATTTGCTAAAGGAATAAAATTGTTCATCTAAATAATATGGGCTTTGTGAATTCATGTATGAGGTAATAGGAAAAATCATCGAGAAGGAAAAAATAACATGTACTTAATAATAAAAAGAAGAAAAACTTCAGAGCAGACAAAAATATTGATTGACAAAATTTAATAAGAAAGAATATACTTTAAATATTTTTATTTAAAAGACAGAAAACATTGTATGCTATATGATATAGTTTATATTTTTCTGTCAGTGCTTATGTTCTAAGTTTATTTGGAAATAGTTTACCTCTTTTGCAAATTTGCAACAAAAATTTTCTCAGGTTAAGAAGAAAATGAACTGCATCACTGGATTTATTTTAGTTGAAAATATAGCTCTAAAATATTTGGCAATCAGTGTTCTGAATTCACTAATAGTTTTTCCTTTTGCTTTTATAAATTAGAGAAGTTTGAAAAAACCAGGATTTTTAGGATAATGTCTTTTGGTAAGATGTTAACAATGAGTGAATTTTTATGAGAAATATAATTGTACTATGATTTAATATCTCACTAAAAGTATTATTAATTACTGTTTTTATATATTTGCAGAAATTATACCCACATGTAACATATTAGACATCATAAAATGGGCTCAATTTGTATAAACATTTTTGTAATTTTGTATCTAAAACTTTTTTAGAATATTTTAAATGAGAATATATATTCATCATGTCCTCATTTAAAAGTGTAATTATCTGAATAAATCAAATTATTTAAAGGATTGCTTATGTTAACTATTTAGACTGTTTTCTATTTTTCACTCTTAAAATATGCCATTTCATATAGCTTATGTCTAATATGGATGTTAAATTATTTTTTGAAAAAAATAAATTTTCCCTTATATATTCTAAACATTTCTTTTCCTCTTAGAAATTTATTTAGTCAGTTCACATTACTGAACTATCTTAATTTTATAATGGTTTCAGATCAATTGACCCAATCAGGTCAATACAAAGTAAATCTCCTTTTTTACCTATCAAGTATTTAAATGAATTTTATAATTTATAATTTATTTTTCTAATTTTGTTTAATTGATTAAAGATTTTAAGATATTGCTGAAAAATAAGGATCATCAGCATCTTTGTGTAGGTCTGATTCCAGTAAAAAAAAAAAAAAATCTGCTAGAATTTAATTAATTATTAGTGTCCACCCAAATAGTCCTCCTATTCTCAGAAACATTAGAATTGCTTTAATTAAGGAAACTTTAAATTAAGGCTATCTAATAGTGAAGTATAAAGTGACATCCTTTAGAATATTGCTACATATTTATGGTTTTTATATGTACTGACCTCTTCACTGATTATTAAGCCATTAGTAGACACTGACATATTCTGTGTGTATTTCATTTAACCCCTATAATTGAAGTCAAACTATTTTATCTCTTTTTTTATAGATGAAAGTTTGAAACAAGGAAATTAACTTTCTCAAGACCATATAACTAGTAATTAGTGATAGAGTAAGATTTGCAAAAAGATCTCTCTTTGATTCTAAAGTCTTAGCCACATTACACTGTTTCTTATGTTTTTATTTTCATATGTGGCACTTTAAAAAATTCATTCTTAAACAATGAAAAGTGAGTCCAAACTTTTAACCATAAGAGTGGATTGTCATTTGCCTCATTAGCCATTAATATGTTTTTGTTTCTCAGATACATAAGTAGATTTTGTGAGGATTAGGAGATTTAAATCCAGTTTCTATTGCCTAACCAGTTCCCATAATTGTTATATTTTGGCTCTATTATTCACTCTGTTTTCATTATTGGCCATCGAAGATTCTGAAAACCTGTAATTACAAACATAAAATGCTAGCAGAAAGCAGTTGTTTTGTCCAAATCACTACACACTTTCTTTGCCAGTACTTCCTTGGATTAATAGTCACTGATTAGTTATACAAGTGATTGTTAGGGACATGAGGACATAGCCAATGTATTAAAAAACCTGATTTTTCACTGACACAGAGCTGTACCTGGAAAATAGGTTAAGATGCTAGACACCTATAAATAGGTAGAGATTGTGAAGAGATGTAATGTATTTTCTTCATTTTTTACTTTTATTTATTTTAATTTGTTTTTAAGCCTGGAGTTTTTAAAAATCTTGTAAGAATAAGATAAACTTAAGGTTTCAACTTAATGTCATAATTCTAAATTAGTTATACATTTCAAATTATAGTTGTAAGATTATCACTCTAATAGACCAATTTCTCTTAAACATATACATGCTTTTTATTTTAATAATATACATACATTTTTGTTTTAATAATAATTTCAAGTGTTCTGAAAAGTTACAAAAATTCACTTTTTTTCATTGGCTTTATCATTCTCTCCTTCATGGTGTGTGTGTGTATGTGTGTGTATGTTTGGTTTTTTACCTGAATCATTTCTGAGAGTAAGTAACAGAAATTACATACCCCTTTTCCTGAACACTTAAGTGTGTCTTTCCTAAGAACAAGGATATAACTTTATAGTATAACTACAATACTAATATTAAAATCAGGAAATTTAACATTGACATAATACTATACCTACTTCATGGTCCATGTTCAAATTTATTTATTTATTTAGTTTTATGGTCTCAGTTGCATGTGCAAAATGTTGAGACCTGAATAAATTATTATTTTTTATAAATGTGTCTATATCTGCTTTATATTTAGTTTTAATTTTTCTTAGATTTAGCTAGTATTTATTTATTTTGACATTACAGTCTTAAGCCCTTGTTTTTGGTCATTTTCTGTAAATTTATTAGTAGTTCATGAGAAGCTGCAAGAGACTACAATGGGCCTTAAGCAAATGTCACTTGAATATGAAATCAAAAGTTTTAGAATTTATCTATAGATCTGAATTCATTATATACTGGTATAATTTTATTTTGGTGAAGCTATTTAAAAATGAATGGGTTATTTTTTAATTCCAAATCAAGATTCTGTCTAATTTATATTACAAATGAAAAGATTTTAAATTAGTTACAAATGACTAAAATTTGTAAGTAAGGGTGAAAAAACAACTATTATGGGTTTTGCTGGTCAATTTCCAAAAGTGAGTTGATTTCAACAGTGCTTTTCAAAATAGTTTTTGTTGCACAGTTCTAGGCCATTCAACATCACAGAGCATTACCATGGGTATGTTTGTGAATATGAATCTATTTATATATAATTTACTGGATATAAAGCTACTCATGTAGTTTCTTATTTTTGTATCTTTTTATTTCTAGAATTTGAAATCTCAAAAGAGAAATGAAGAACCATACAAAGCAGATAGAGTTTATCCTTCTGGGACTGACAGATAATTCTCAGTTACAGATTGTAATTTTTTTATTTCTACTTCTGAATTACATGATGAGCATGATAGGAAACTTAACCATTATTGTCCTCTCACTAGTGGATTCCCGTCTCAAGATCCCAATGTATTTCTTCCTCCAAAATTTCTCTTTTCTGGAAATTTCATTCACAAGTGCTTGCATCCCCAGATTCTTAAACAGCATTGTAAACAAGGAAAAGACCATTTCTTATAATGGTTGTATGTCTCAGTTATTTTTTTACATATTTTTGGGGGTTACCGAGTTTTTCCTGTTGGCAGCTATGTCTTATGACCGCTATGTTGCCATCTGCAAACCTTTGCATTACACATCCATCATGAGCAGCAAGGTTTGTCATCGGCTTGTACTCATTTCTTGGGCAACTGCGTTTTTAGTCCTTTTCCCACCATTGATTTTGGTTCTTAACCTGGATTTCTGTGCTTCAAATATCATTGATCATTTCATTTGTGACATTTCTCCTGTCCTGCAACTTTCTTGCTCAGACACACATTTACTAGAACTGATTACTTTTTTCTTAGCTGTGACTACCCTCATTTTCACATTGTTATTAATAATCCTTTCTTATTCTTACATCATCAAGACAATCCTAAAATTCCCTTCAGTTCAGCAAAAGAAGAAAGCTTTTTCTACCTGCTCTTCTCACATGATTGTTATATCCATCACTTATGGTAGTTGTATATTTATCTACATAAAACCACCAGCAAATAAAAGAATCGCTTTAGGCAAAGGAGTAGCAGTGCTCAATACTTCAGTTGCTCCTTTGTTGAACCCATTCATTTATACTCTAAGGAACCAGCAAGTTAAACAAGCCTTCAAAAAGGTATTTAGAAAGATACTTTATGTTTTAGACAAGTAATAATATTTATTGAAATAATTAACATAAGAACATAAAAGGAACATGGAACAAAACCCACTCTGACTTTTCTAGTTTAAGAATTAATCTCTAATATTTAGTTAGGTGGATAGCTTTACTGAAGATTACAAACTCGCTTTATGAATTTAATGTTCAGTTCTTCAAAGTGAAACCTTATATGTTAAAAATATAAAATTGCAAGATTTATTTCCTCTAAAAGCATGGTAGAATAGAACAAATGAAGGGTTTTAATTGTATTATAGGCTATAAATTCTTGGAGAGATGTAATTGATAATTAATTTATATAAATATACCATGTTTTATGTAAAAGCCATGTTCTTTGAAGTTCTTAGATGAAATAAGTTTTGTCATTATTAAATTTGCTTAACATGTTTCATGAGAACTTACACTTCAAAAGAATAATTCAGAGATTTTAATTTTTTTAAATTCAATCTTTATTGTATTTTTCCCATTATTATTTAATCCTTTTGTACCCTCCTTCCCCCAGCAATCACCACACTGTTGTCTATGTCCATGTCTTTTTTCCTTTTTGTTCAATCTTTCCACCCTCTCCCACTAGCTGTCATCTCTCCGTCTGAGTCTGTCCCCATTTTCGTTGTTAGTTCAGTTTGTACATTAGATTCCACATATGAGTGACATCATATGGTATTTGTCTTTCTCTGACTGGATTATTTCACTTAGCATAATATTCTCCAGGCCCATCCATACCATCGCAAATGGTAAAACTTTCCTATTTTTTTACAGCCAAATAGTATTCCATTGTGTAATTATCGCATAGTTGTTTATCCATTCATCTACCGATGGACACTGGGGCTGCTTCCATATCCTGTGGATTGTAAATAATGCTGCATTGAACATAGGGGTGTTTATGTTCTTTCAAATTAGTGTTTTGGGTTTCTTCAGATATATTCCCAGAAATGGGATTGTTGGGTCTAAAGGCAGATCCATTTTTAATTTTTTGGAAGTATTTCCATACTGCTTTTCACAGTGGCTGCACTAGCCTGTATTCCCACCAATAGTTCAAGAGGATTACCCTTTCCCCACATCCTCGCCAGCACTTGTTGTTGTTGATTTATTGATGATAGGCATTCTGAAAGGTGAGAGATGCTATCTCATTGTGATAATTTGCATTTCTCTGATAACTAGTGATGAGCATCTTTTTGTATGTCTGTTGGCCATCTGTATGTCCTCTTTGGAGAAATGTCTATTCATGTTTTTCATCCCTTTTTTAATTGGGTTGTTTGGGTTTTTGGTGTTGAGTTTTGTAAGTTATTCATAAATTTTGGACATTAATCCCTTATCAGATATATCAGTGAATATGTTCTCCCATTCTGTGGGTTGTCTTTTTATTTTGTTGATTATTTCCACTGCTGTGCAAAAACTTTTTAGTTTGATGTAGTCCAATTTGTTTATTTTTTATTTTGTTTCCCTTGCTTGGGGAGATATATCTGATAAAATATTGCTATGAGCAATGTCTGAGATTTTCTATGTCTATGTCTATGTTTTCTTCTATGATCTTTATGGTTTTGGGTCTAATGTTTAAGTCTTTAATCCATTTTGAATTTATTCTTATATGTGGTGTAAGAATGTGGTCTGGTTTCATTTTTCTGCACATATCTGTCCGATTTTCCAAATACCATTTATTGAATAAACTATTTTTAGCCCGTTGTATGTGCTTGCTTCTTCTGTTGAATATTAATTGCCTAAAAAGGTGTGGGTTTATTTCAGGGTTCTCTGTTCTGTTCCATTGATCTATGTATCTGTTTTTATGCCAGTACCATGTTGTTTTGATTACTGTGGGCCTCATACTATAGTTTCATCTTAGGTAGTGTGATTCTTCCAAATTTGTTCTTCTTCTTCAGGATCACTGTTTCTATGTGGGGCCTTTTGTGGTTCCATATAAATTTTTGAAATATTTGTTTTAGTTCTATGAAATATGTCATTGGAATTTTGATAGAAATTGCATTGAAATTATAGATATTATCAATTATTATCATACAATAAAGCAGAATTTCCTTTGAAATGAATCATACATTTGATTGGCATGATTTTATTTTAGTTTTTATTTGAGTAGATTTTTATTTTTTATTTATAAAGATTTTATTTATTTATTTTTAGAGAGAGGGGAACAGAGAAAGAGAGGGGGAGAAACATCAATGTGTGGCTGCCCTTCGTGTGTCCCCCACTGGGGACCTGGCCCGCAACCCAGGCATGTGCCCTGACTGCAAATCAAACTGGTGACCCTTTGGTTCACAGACTGACAGTCCACAGAGCCACACCAGTCAGGGCTATTTGAGTAGATTGTTAAAATTGCAGTAGGAAATAAAATATGATTTTATACACAAGTAGTTGATTTCTCACATAATTTTTCAAGAACATATAGGCAAGTTTAATCTCTTGAACATTGTTGATGAATTAATTCAATAAATCAAAATAGATGATAAATTTTATGTGTGAGGTCCCAATGTTCCTACTTTGAGGAGGACTGAGGAGTCTTTGTCCTATGAACAATATTTCTTGTTTTTGTGTCTTCTTCAGAAATGTCTCTATTTTTCCTAATACTTGAAAGCTATATAATTTTATTAACTATCATCACCCCAATAAATGTAATGAAACAGATATAGCCTAAGTCAATCTGGATATGTTTATGCAGCTGCTTTGGAAGAAATGTTTTTTTTCTTTCTTTCTAATGAATCCTATATGATCTTATTAACTGATGTCACCCCAATAAATTTAATAAAAGAAAAAAATAAAGATAAAACTGTTTCATTTCCTGCAAAACTGAGGTATGAAATAATCTTTTTTTCTTTGAGTGTCGGCTCTTAGAACACATAGATGCCACCACTCTTAAAATTTTCCTTAGGTAGATGCTGTTGTGTCAATTGGTTTATGCCATAGTGGTAACTAAGCTAATATCACAAGATTATTTTCTATGTGTGACACTATATTTTTTTCTTATCTCTGTTTACAGTTACCATTTTTCTAGTAAATATTCTTAAAAATTTTACCTATTAAATTTAATGACAATGAGAAAACATGAGTGGGTCAACTAAAATTTATTACTAGATTGTTGGTGGACTTTGACCTTCACACTAAATTACAAGAAAAAAAGGACTTTTAGAAAGATATATACAGTTAAAGAGACATTATTCCTCAGATATCAAGATAATGATTGTTGCTGTCAGTCTGCCTAGAGTAACTGAGGGAGATAAATGCATGGAGTGGTATGCTGCATAAACTTACTGTAAATTTGATTTTTCATTGTCTGTACAGCCTCATTGGATAAGAACAAAACAATGCGTTTTTCTGTTCCACTTTCACCTCTGTGGCAGATAAGATTTTCCTAAATGACAGTGACACGATATCTTTCATCTAATATCCTCTTATATATGACTGACCTTCTTTCCAAAGAGACATAGGGCAAATTCCTTCTCTGGAATTTAGGCAGAAGCTAGTAACCACTCCAGCCAGTAGAGTTAATGCTATTCCCTAGGCAGTGATCCCTAGGCAGTATCATAAAAAGAATGTATTTCCTGTCTAGATCTCTCTATTTCAGGACACTTATCATTGAAATCCAGCAACCATACTGTGAAAAATTCTAAACCAGTTTTAAGGAGAGAACACACAGAGAAGTGCATATTAAAAAACCCCCCAAAACTGAGATCTTAAACTGAAAACCAGATTCAACTGCTAGGCTTGTGGGGGAAGGTGTTTTAAGATGACTCCAGTTTTCAGTCTTCATGTCTTTCATGCGAGGTCCTGAACATCATGAGGCAGAAATAAGACCTGCTGTACTCTCTGTATAAATTCCTGATAACAGAATCTGTGAGCATAGTAAATGGTTGCTTCATACAATAAAGTATTTACGTAATTTGTATTGGTGGTCTCTGACATTATAGGTGTTTACAATAGACAATTTCTTTCCTGTAGAAATAATTTGAAAAAGTTTTCTTTATTGTTCAAATACATTTGTCTCCATTTTCCCACCACCAGTTCCCCCTGCCCCACCTACCCCTATAGAAATTATATCAAAACTAATTCACATTTCAAAATAGAAACATGCAATCGATTGATCTTTCCAATTAATAGAAATGTAGTTTGTATATGTCAAAACTCATCAAACTGGATACTTATGATTTGTGCATTTTAATGGACATAAATTTTACATTAAAAATTGCTAAAAATTGGGCTCTAGATATTAGGTTTGTTTTTCATAGTAGTATGGATTATCAATTCTGTAAATGTTTAGTTGTACTCTAGGCTTATGCAAGTTGGCTTTGAAGAAAATGACACTGAAGCTTCTCACTCTGGGACTAAGAAGTTACAAGCACAGGTAGGAAGTTATTTTTTAATCCTTACTGAGGATATGTTTATTGATTTTAGAGAGAGAGAAAAGTGGGTGAGAGAGAGAGGGAGAGGAGGAGAGAGAAACATCAATAGGTTGCATCCTGTACATGCCCCAAAAGGGGATTGAACCTGCAATCTTTCAGAGCGCGAGATGTTCCACTCAACTGAGCCACCTGGCCAGGGCCAGACAGGAAGGTTTTAAAGTATTCTGTACAGTGTTGTATTAGAATAGGAAGTATCAGCATGATCACATTATACACACACATACACACACATACACATATGTATACATGCATATATGCGCATACACACTGTCTTCTGAGAGGGCTTATAAGCAATAACCCACCAATACAATTAATACTCACAACTTGATATTTAAATATTATTAACTAAAATGAATTTCAGATTCTTGGAGAAATGGCTGTATTATTCAAGGCTGAATCAAGAAAAGTATGAGAACTGAAAATATTTTGCTATAGGGAAGTACTCAAAAAGTAAAAAGGACATATAAACAAAGTTCAGAGCTGATTAAAAGAAGCTCCCACTTACCATATTTTAATAATATATATATCAACATAAATGATAGCATTAATGGATTATAACATTGAATAAAATGAGAATCTTTGAGTCAATAC